CGCGAGCGACTTATATATGTAATTAAAATAAGTATATAAATTTTTTTTTAAAACTTTGTTTACTAACAAGATTTTTAATTAAGTTGGTTTTTTATATAGACAAATGGCCTTGCAAGTTTCATGCGTTGGGATTCGCAGAACTCACATAGGTGCGAAAATATGGTTAGTCGATCATAGTCAGAATAGGTACTTAACTTAAGTATATTAATAAACATTTCGCAATGTATTATTTTAATCTTGATTGACATCCCTTAGTAACCACGAAAAGTCAGTCGTGACTTGGACACTCGCGCTGCGATAAAGTTTTATTTAGATTGCGAACGCGATTTATCTAATTAATAATAATTATGAAGGCTATTAAACGTCAGCAAGCAGTCAAAATTAAAGGAGTGCAAATTCTGTACGTAGTACTATTATTCATTCTGTGACATTGTGGCCTATAGCAATCTACTTATGTCTGTCCTTATGAAATTTATGTATGTACACTATTCCCACGCTACAGAGAAAATCTCAGTGTGAAGGTTTCGTTTTAAAAGCAATCCTAAATAAAGAATTTAAATACAAGTACGTTGTCACTCCTGACAAATGGCTCTTTTCCAGTAAAATGTATCTCCAGTTTTCTACACTTATTTCATTATTTTACGGTGGTATTCTGTGAGAGCACTAAACGCTATGCTCAAAGACCTCAATAGTCCCTACCAAAGGCACATCTTAAGATAAAAGACAACAAAAAAGATCGTGTGTAATTTCCATGTTAGACCGATGCCGGTATTTGTTAAGCGCTAAGCTTGAAGTCTCAGATCCATGAAAGATGCGTAGAGTACGGCGTTAACACACTAGATGCAGTGACAACCTGTAAGACACGCAGGAAATTAATGATTGCAGGTAACTCAGGAGCGTGTTTTGTGGCATTTCTTGGGGAAGGCCTCTGTTTTAGCAGTAAACTTGTGAAGGGCACTAAGCACTTATCGTATGCTCAAAGGCCTCAATAATCCCTACCAACGGCATATCTTAAGACAAACGACAACCAAACAAAGATCGTGTGTAATTTCCATGTCACACCGATGCCGGTATTTGTTGAGCCCTAAGCTTGAAGTCTCAGATCCATGAAAGAGGCGAAGAGTACGACGACCACCCACTAGATGCAGTGAAGACCTGGTAATACACGCAGGATGTCGATGGATGCAGGTGATTTAGAACCGCGTTTTGTGGCGTTTCTTGGGGGATTATGTTTAGCAGTGGACTGGTGCTGTAATGAGTGAATGTGATGGCGAAGTTCGAAGTTTTTGACGAGTATGTTTACCTGGGACAAATAGTCCGCCTAGGTAAGACCAACTTCAACCGAGAGGTCAATCGACGGTTTAATCCGTCGATTGACCTTCGGCTGGGCAGCGAATGGGAGATTATCGACACATTTTCTAGCCAGGTATATCTCAAAAATAAAAAATAAAAGATTGCACAATTAGTGCGTGTTGCGAGTGATGATTTATGGATCTTAGATCTGGTGCTTCGCCGCTGGCTGTATGGGAAAGCTCAAGGTCGCTTAGCGAGCTGTGGAGAGGGCTATATTCGAGATTTTTCGGCGTAGTAAACTGAGAAATTTGGATATTTGTAGTAGATACAAAGTAAAATAAACAGCTCAACGGATTAGTAAGTTAAAATGGAAATAGACCAGTCATATAGCTCGAAAAATCGACAACCGATTGGGAAAAAAGTTTTTGAGTGGCAGCCTCGTACTGCACACGTACGAGCACAGAAGTGGAATTAAAATTTCAATGCCTCTCTATTCATTCAATTACAGGGTCTTTAAGGCAAGAGTCGATTGGCTTTTGACTAGTTATCCACTTTATCACTATCACTATCATTATTATCATCATCGTTATTACAGCATCAGGATTTTCCTCTATCGTTTCTTCTGACACCTATGGGATGACTTATGAAATGAAAATGAAAACTAAATATTTCGACTTAAGAAATTACATCATCTATCAAACCGTTACTATTACAGGTTGACTATCTCGTTGGTCTAGTGGTTGTAGTGGTGCGACTACTGATCATGAGGTGCTGGGTTCGAATCCCTGGTCAGGACAAAAAAAAATAATTTTTGAGTTTTTCTGTCAAGAAATTCTAAGTAGCTGCCCGGAGTCAGTAAGTTGGTGGTGTCTCACCCCCGTGCCTCAGAAAGCAGGTAAAGCCGTTGGTCACGCGCCTGACCTCTCTCTGGTCGTGTCGGTTTACCGTCCCATCGGATTATAAGAGTGAAGGAATAGAGAGTGCAGCTGTGTTTGCGCATACACTTGGGCACTATAATCCTGTCCTGCGCCGATGGCTAACCTCCGTTGAGGCAGGCCGCTGTGGCCGAAATTCGGACTGGAGGTCATTATTATTATTATTATTGGGGTATCTATATAGTTTTCTCATCTGGTTGAGTTCTATAAATATATAATTATAAATTAAAATGGAAAGATAAATATACATAAATATAATTAAAATAAAATAAATGCAAAAATACATAAATAAATAAAAGCCCAACCAGATTATTATTGTGGGGTTATTAATAGAGTAATCACATCTGGTTGGGTCTGGATAAATATATAAATTGGAAATGAAAAATAAATATATATTTAATATACTAACATAAATAAATAAATAATACTTAAATAAATAAAAGCCCAACCAGATGAAAGCCCTCGGCCGGGGAGACCAAAAGGCCGAGGGTTAGGGGGAAAGGGAAAGAAACCGGCGGATGATGCGGGCGGTATCAAGGAGCACCGCCTTCTGCATTTGAGCCCGGAGCGGTCCGTCACGTAGTCCCAGTCGCCTCAGACGACCCGAGAGGCTGGCTGGGATTAACCCGTTTGCAGACACGACTACAGGAATAATTTCGGTCGACAGACCACCACACATGTCGGTCACCTCGTGAGCCAGGTCCAGATATTTTGATTGCTTTTCTGTTTCGACTTTCACGAGGTTCTCGTCATACGGAATGGTAATGTCGACCAAAAATATCCTTGACTGTGCCCAGTCCATCAGCACAATATCAGGCTTATTCGCAAGAATAGTCCTGTCCGTGATGATGGCACGGTCACAGTAGAGCCTGGCGCGGTCATTTTCGAGCACGGCTTCCGGCAAGTACTTGTAATACGGAAATTTTCTGTCCACGAGACTGTATTTCAGAGCGAGCACCTGGTGTAGAATTCTGGCTACTAGGTTGGGCCTGTGCAAGTATTTCAGAGTTAGAAAGCGCCGAACAACCGGAGATGACATGCCTAAGTGACTCACCGGGATGGCGACAAGCTTGACAGATGTCGATGGTGCAATCCTTTAGGATGTATCTCCGATAGTTGTTGGTCTTAATAACCTGATCCTGTATTGCACAGACAAAACCCTCGGTTTCCCCGAAGAGGTCACCAAAGCGTAGCCAGTGGAGGGAGGTTACTGTGTCTACGAAAGGCCCATGTAGAGACTTGTAGAACCTCCCGTGGAGCTCCTTCTCCTTCCATACGGTCTCCCGGTCGGAAATTGTCTGCACTGCCGGGTCTTGCCATTGCTCGTTGGCTAAGGATAGAGGGGTAAGTCCTTTATCACAAGAAATGACGTCCTTATAGAATGGATCATCCAGGAACTCGCCAGGAAGTATTTACGGAGGCTGCACACTTCGCGATTATGCATGGTGAGTGCGCTCAAGAAGCCACGCCCACCATGCTTTCGCGGCAAGTACAGCCTCATTACCGACGATCTCGGATGATGCATCCTGTGGGACGTCATGGTAGTGTGGACTTTTCTATCCAGGGCGTTAAGTTCAGTCTGAGTCCACCTGAGTATGCCAAAGGTATACATGAGGACAAGCATGACCCAGCCATTATATTCTTGTGTCTTATTCACACCGGACAAAAGGCTGTTAAGCAAAACACCGCAAATTTCATACCAGCCTCATCGATACAGATGTTCTGTGACATACCCAGGTATCGGTATGTTTCAGCCTCGGAAAGGGTCCTTAAGTTGACGGGCATAGATAAGTCTATGCCCTCAGAGTTAGCAACCCTACCCCTCTCAACATGGAGTACCGCACACTTATCCATCCCCAGCTCCATTCCAATGGAATTTCTAAATTCACAAGTGATATTTAGCGATTCCATAAGATGGGAGCGACTGGAGGCGAATAACTTGAGGTCATCCATATAGAAAAGGTGGGTCACTTTTGTCCCTCCTTTCCGTAGCTGAAATCCCCTCCCGGAGCCCTCCAGTAAGGTACTGAGAGGGTTCACAGAGAGGCAGAACCATATCTCAACATCGCCCTGATACCCTTCCTATCCTTATGTGGTTCTCCGCAGCCATCATCCGCTCGCCCAGATGACAAAGGATCGTACTCCACTGCCCCATACACTGCTCGAGGAAGTCTCTAACTGTACAGTCTATCTTGTACAGTTCGAGGACTCTCTTTAGCCATGTATGGGGCACCGAGTCGAATGCCTTTCTGTAGTCTATCCAGGCGGCGGAGAAGTTTCGACGGTTGCGTTTCACCACCTTGCCAATGACCGCGTCATTGAGGAGTGGTTCCTTGGTTCCACGACCGCCGCCCCGACATCCATTTTGAGCGCGCGACATCACCTGATTTGAGTCCAGGTGACGAGTGATTCTCGCGCTCAAAATGGATGTTAGTGTCTTGTATATGGTCGGTAGACATGTGATGGAGCGGTATTTGCTCGGGTCTGCGGTACCCTGGCCTTAAGGAACCAAATGGGTGATCCCAGTAGTGAAGAGGCTCAAGAGCGACTTCTGGTTGAGAACCTCTTGAAACTGTCGGGCGAGCACAGTGTGACACACCACGAACCCCTTCAGCCAGTAGTGATGCAGCCCGTCGAGTCCCGGACTTTTCCAGTTCGGGGCCCTACGGACCGCCTCAGCTACGTCATCCGGCGTTATGTTGACGGGGTCCATGGGCGTAATACCCGCACAGTGACTCGCCACAACTTCCGTCCAAGGGCCCTCGTTGTGGTTTACGGGCTCTGACCACAGTCTGCGCCAGAATCCGACCGTGTCGGCCTGATTCGGTACTGGGCCGTTCCACTTACCATTGGTCGCTCCAATGATTTATAGAGCCTCTTCTTATCACTCTGGAAGAGACGATTCTGGTTGAACCGTGTCGACCTCTCGGAATATCGCCGAATTCGCTTTCCCCAAGCAGCGATTCTCTGCTTCAGGTCGTCTATGCGCTCCGTCAGTTTTTGCATTATATCCGGCTTGGACAAACTAACATTTGTCCCAGCAAACGCCATTCTGACGGTGCGCACAATCCTTGGCCTGGTATTGCCTGACCTAAAGCATATCAGTCTGCCGATGAGGGCCCTAGCCTTTGCGATACGTTCTTCAATTCTTGTTCTCCAGGCTGGGATAGTACTACTTTGTCCAGTAGTGCGTCCAGCCGCGGAAAGTTTGGCGCCTATAATACGGCAGACTGCCAGTGCGGCGCCAAAGTGAATTGAGTCCGTCTCGCAAAGGTCCCGGCTGGCTTCCAAATAGGTCACCAACATTGGGTTCAGAGCCCTCACGACAGCCCGATTCCGCTTGCTTAGGGCTATGCGGGGAAGTCGCGGTCGATTTTCGAGAGGCGTACTGCGCGTTTCCATAATCGCCTCTTCCAATGTACTCCTCATTTGCTCTATTTCTAGTTCCTGGGTGAATGTTCCATCATCATTTGAATCAGCAACCACTGGGGTATTCTCGGCGGCATCCACGTGTGCGGGTTGTTCTGCAACTTGTGGCACCGCACCCCCAGTCGTAGCGTTTTCATTTGATGAGGGAACAGCCTCACGTCGTAGCCGTTCGAGTTCGGTGCCATCAAATATATTTGAGCGTAAGATATACCGAACTCGATCTGCCAGGTTTTGCTCGGTGACAGTAATAGATGGCTCCAGCTCAGTAAAAAGACGAAGCATCCTAGCCCGATACGCGAAACCTCCAATTTCTCCCCCTTTCGCCCTAAAATACGCCCGCAATGCGTTTGTATTCATATTGATGGTCCATCGCATGCGGCGTACTCCACCAGTGGCGGGTGCCGATTGCTGGGTCTGCGAAGACCCTGCCGACACCAAGCAAGCTGGTGGGGATGATGGATGCGAGGGGCTGCTGGGTGGTCGTGCAGCACCTCTCGCTCGGCTGGCGGTTCGCATGCTGTTATTATTATTATTATGGTTATTATTATTACAGCTTATTAAAGTCTCCTGCTGAACATAGACCTCCCCGTAGATTGCCTAGGTTGTTTTATTGTTAGGGGATCCCCCTGACGTTCGCCTGTCCTATGTACAGGGTAGAGGATTTTCTTAAGCCCCACTACACGTTAATCAACTTATTATCAACTGTGATCAACAAAATTTCATTTTGCTTCTTCGTGTTACATTTCTTCGGAGTTTTATTTTCATTGAACTTCATTTCAGTCAACAAATACGTATGTTTTTGTGAAATAAAATACTGTTATATTTTGCAGTATTACAAATTCTTGGCAAAATCAAATTTCTTTTCTTTTTCATAGACTTCGAAGTCCCAACATCGAAAGACAACTTAAACTGGAACGAACAAAGAACTTTCGTTTTAAAATTTAAAATATATTTTTATAAAGTATTAGTTAAAGTGACAAACGAGAACACAATCCATCTGAAGGTAAGTGAATGCTGTGCCCCATAGATACTTTAAATTACACTCAATTAAGATTTAAACATAAACTTTTTATTTAGATGTAAATTTTTACATTCTCCCTTTAAAGGAAAAAGTACATTATAACTTTGGAGCTTGTACATAGCTGTTCATTGATCATGAGAAGTAACAGGCTTTTATCACTAAAATTATTTGAGGCGACATGACTTAAAATTATTTTAGAGTAATTTGGGTTTTTTGGTTTGGAAAGACGCTCACGAAATTTTCCTATTTTTTTTGGACGTGGTTTTGTTTTTTTGATTTTCTATATAAGACCACCAATGAAATTTTTATCTATTACCATACTTAAGTACTATAATCAAAATGTAGATGTGATGTCACCTATAAGAAGTAGTTCTTAGACAGATAGCATCATTAGCAGTGAAAGTGATAAGTTTCTCTTTTTTAAATTAAAATGACAAACGAATATAACGAAGACGTTTTCAAGCTACTGGACTGGAAAGGATACGGTATTAACATCAATGGCGAGTACATCACTCACCTTCGATTTGCCGACGATATAGTCCTTATGGCAGAATCGCTGGAGGACTTAAGCACTATGCTCAATGACCTCAATAGTGCCTCCCAACGGATAGGTCTTATGATGAACATGGATAAAACAAAGATTATGTTTAATGTCCATGTCACACCTATGCCAGAGTCTATGCTCGAAGTTGTTAACGAGTACGTTTACCTGGGACAAATAGTCCGACTAGGTAAGTCCAACTTCGACCGAGAGGTCGATCGACGGATTCAACTCGGCTGGGCAGCGTTCGGGAAATTACGACATATCTTCTCGTCAGGTATACCTCAATCTCTAAAAACTAGATTGGACAACCAGTGCGTGTTGCCAGTGATGACTTACGGATCTGAGACGTGGTCCTTCACTGCTGGCCGTATGAGGACGCTCTAGGTCGCTCAACGAGCTATGGAGAGGGCTATGCTCGGAGTTTCTCTGCGTGATAGACTCAGAAATGAGGATATCCGCAGTAAAATCAGAGTGACCGACATAGCCCAACGGATTAGTAAGCTGAAATGGCAATGGGCCGGCCATATAGCTCGAAGAACCGATAACCGATAGGGAAGAAAGGTTCTCGAGTGGCAGCCTCGTACCTGTAGGCGTAGTGTAGGGCAACCCCTCACTAGATGGAGTGACGACCTGGTAAGATATGCAGGAAGTCGATGGATGCAGGTGGCTCAGGACCGTGCTTTGTGGCATTACTTGGGGGAGGCCTATGTTCAGCAGTGGACTTGTGAAGGGCTGTAATGATGATGATGATGATTATTATAAGTGGATACTAAAGTCCGTGAACACCGGCAACTGTTGTGTACTTGGTGGCATCTATAAGTAAGAGGGTGGTGGGCAGAAAAATAGAAAGCTACTCCTGCTGGACATAGGAGAGACTGCTCCCCCATAGACTGCTTTAATTGAAGGAACTTGCTATAATGAAGGACGTTTGCTATAGTTGCAAAAGCAGGTGGATTGGCAACCGCAATTTTTTATTTTCTAGTTGTTATCAGAAAGATGCTGCTGTCAATGGCGATCCACATCAACAAAAGTTTGTCTCAACCACTTTGGCGAGAGACAAAAAATCTCTACTGCCAGATGGTTTAACAGAGAGCTTTACACCGATGAGTTTAATGCGGTCGAATCTGGCTTGCCGTAATGCCTTTATGCAAGATTTGGAGCCTCCTTTAGGGCTCTCTTCTTAAGGCGGAGCTTTGCGGTCTTGAGCATCGACCCCGGATAAATAATAAATAAATAAATTTTATTTCGTTTTTAAAAGTACATACCTTGAGAACTAGTAGATTGGAACCTCCATTTAAGCAAATAATGCCTGTGTTTGGAGGGTCCGCCGTTCCATTACTATAAGTTACAAGGCAATATGCGTAAACATATTCTTTATCCTCTCTCGTATATTCTAAAATCAGGAAAATACAACGATAGTAATACGAAAAATACGATAACGACGATAATAACGATAGGATAGTGTGTGCGCGTGTGTGTGTGCGCTTGTGTGTGCGCGTGTGTATGCGCGTGTGTGTACGCGTATGTGTGTGAGTGTGTGTGCGCGTCTGCGCGTGTGTGTGCGCGGTGTGCGCGTGTGTGCGCGCGGTGAGTGCGCGTGTGCGCGTGAGCGCGTGTGCGCGCGTGTGTGCGCGTGTGGGCGCGTGCGTGCGTGAGTGTCTTTGGCGTGTGCGCGTGTGTCGGGCGTGTGCGAGTGCGCGCGTGCGTGCGTGTGTGCGGGGAGTAGTGTGTGTGTGTGTGTGTGTGTGTGTGTGTGTGTGTGTGTGTGTGTGTGTGTGTGTGTGTGTGTGTGTGTGTGTGTGTGTGCGTATATAACATATTTTGCCGAACGGTTTCAGGGTCGAGTGTCCTTAATTCTCAAGTTCATTTGGAGGTCAGCCTCTTCATCCATCACCTGCTTCCAGTTCGATCGGTGCCTTCGAGGCGAGGAGCGTGAGATACTTTTAAACATTAATATTTATACTTAAAAAAATCTTAACTGTTAGGACACCTTTTTTCATTTATTTTTAAAATCATGAGTGAGTCAAAGCAATTCAGAGAATTGAGAGCTAAGCGTAGTTCAATTAAGGGACAAATAACCAAGTTTAAAAATTATCTAAATAAGATAACAAGATTGCCTAAATTAACAAATATAGAAGTTTCCGAATTAACTATAAAAATAAATAAATTTGAAGCATTGTCAGGTAAATTTGATGAGTTGCAGGATCAAATTGAAGTTTTAGCTGGTGATTCTTTGGATGAGGAGATGGATGAGAGGGAGGTTATTGAACAGGATTTGATACTATGCTTGGCTACTGCCAAGGAATTTCTTAATCAACAAATGCCCACAATGGAAAGGGATAAACGACAGTCCGTTGGTAATTGTTCTCAGTACACTTCCGATCAATGTAATTTACCGATTAATTTACCATAGTAAAATATTGCTAAATTCGACGGCTCATTTTTCCGCTGGCTTGAATTCCGTGATTCTTTTAACAATTCTATTCATAACAATAATCGATTATCACCAATTCAACAATTTTAATATCTGTTATCCTACTTAGAAGGCAGCGCAGCGCGAATTATATCCAACCTTGAAGTATACTCTGCCAGTTATGAAGATGCCTGGAAGTTAGTATGCAATCGTTACAATAATAAAAAAAACTATTAATAAAACATCATCTAAAATCATTATTTAACATCAATACTATAACTCGGGAGTCTGAGCATGCTTTAAGGTTCATGGTCGATCACGTATCAAAAAATTTACGTGCGTTGTCCAATTTAGGACAACCTACACATAATTGGGACAGTCTGATAATATATATGTTGACGACGAAGTTGGATAACCGTACACTTACTAAATGGGAGTAACAACGTAGCAACATTGACAGTGATGAGGTTCCAACTTTACAACAATTCAACAAATTTTTAATCGACCGCCCTGACGTTTTTGAACTAATTAATCGTAACAAGTCAGACAACAGCAATAAAACTACACAAAATCCGTCAAACTCGTATAACAAACATGATACAAATATAGTAATTAAGGCATTCACATCTTCTAGTGAAGAGAAGGCCCCAACGCACAATAACATTTTTATCCATGTATTATTTGTAGCGAACAACATAGAATTTATGATTGCAATATATTTAAGGCAAAAAGTGTTCAGGAAAGAATTTCGGACAAACAAATCAAATTTAAGGAAGGTCATGATTCGAGCGAATGCCGGAACGCCCTGTCGATAATGTAAGAATAAACATAATACTCTTCTCCATACTCCAAAATCCATTAATAATCACTATGCTTCAACAAACAATAACAATACTAACAACACTTCTATCAATAATACACAGAACGACGATAACGATAATACACGTAAATTTATCTATGGTCTATGTTTGCAATCCTGACACTAATCATATACTTTTGTCAAGAGCGTTGATCCAGGTAATTAATCCAATGACGAATAAATTTGAAACGATTCGTGCTCTGTTAGACTGTGGCAGTCAGTCATCATTTATAACTAAGCAATTACAAAATAAGCTATCATTTCACTCCAATTCAATTCAGTTGAATGTCATTGGTATTGGAAACAGCTCGTTAAGTACTGTTAAGTAATCTTGTGTTGCAAAAATACAATCAATGCACAAAACTTATAATATACAACTTTCATGTTATGTTATTAATGAAATAACGAGCGATCTATCAAGGTGCCCTATTGATAGAAAACAATTAAACCTGCCAACACATATTTAATTGGCAGACCCGTCCTTTGATCAGCCATCTTCCATTAGGATTATTTAGGACATTTTGAAAAGTGAGCAAAGAGCCGTAGATCTTAATAGGCCTAAGTTAATTAGTTCTCACCTTGGGTGGCTGATTGCCGGTCCTATACCATTAAATTCTATTAAGCAAAGGCAAAAAATTACTAAAACTCACTGCAATCATATAACTACAAATCAAAACAA